TTAGTAGCGCCAGCAATAAGAAAAGCATAGTGAAGGAAATTGCCTCAGTGGATGAAAGGATGGATCTAACAATGTACTTACGTACAAGCTCTCTCTCTCTCTCTCTCTCTCTCTCTCTCTCTCTCTCTCTCTCTGTCTCTCTCTCTCTGTCTCTCTCGATACTCGCATCCAACCAATAGTAAACCAGCATGTATCACAACCAATAGAAATTCTTAATTTGCTTACGTTTATGTTAGACATTATGAATACTTCAGTCTATCACATGTTAATGTATAGGTCTATGCGCTATGCTTATGTTTACGTATGCATGGTAAATGGGCTTTAAAGCTCCGATTTCCAGCATTGACACACGAATCACGTTTCACTATCGACACTACTCATCGCAGGCGCATCCGGAAGGGGTTCAACACTAAAATCGTTTATTTCCCTGGGGTGATAAGTTGTTTGTGCTTACTCACCTCTTTGTGCATTAATTCTAGTTGACGAAGGCACTCTCGTAGTCCATGATGTGCTTTCGACAATCTGTTAGTCGATTTATTTACTATTCGGTATAATAATTAAACGAATTATTAGCAGCCGAATTGCTATTTTTTTAATTTAAAAGCCATAAAGTATTCTTTAAATATTAAATTTAATATTTTAATTTTGTTAAAAGCATTTTATGACAAATAATTATTTTATCTTACACACTTAATTTATATTATCTTTATACACATACCCACAAGTGCCGCCCCTCATTCGTCTCTGGATCGACCCCTGATATATTTAAATGTAAATATAATAGAAAAAAGTTGTTATTAAAAAACTAACCAAACCCTAGTCATTATACTTGTTAACTCGCTTATTTAGTGCATCGTTATGCACCGGAACATTTCCACATATTTTCAAAACAGCTAAGATTAGGCCGCTCGACAAAATGAAATTCAGCAACAAAAATGAAATGCAAAATTATCGGCCAATTTCTTTTTTGCCTATTTGTCCAAAAATATTAGTGACTCTTTTATGCACGAATGAAAACCTTTCTCAGTAAATACCAAATACGCAGCGTTTTCAGATTGCTAACATGGATGTAGAAAATTTAAAAAAACAAAAAAAACGGTGATGGCCATATTTTCTTTTCTTGAAGATATTGTATGGATGAAAATGAATCATCTATTGGAATATTTTAGGATCCTTCAGAAGATTTAAATGAGGGGTGTCCAACTTGCAAGGTCTCAAATTCCAAAACTAAAACCTTTATTACGGTTGCGGACCATATTTTCATTACTCTGGCGATTCACATGTTATCCAGCATTGTTGATCTTGGTAGTTAGTCCGGCTGATCTGAAATGGGGTCGGGGTGGGGTTGTATCATTGAGACCACCATGCATAACTCAGCGAATCGCATTGATATGGTTTTGAATTCTAAATTTGCTAGGAAAAATCTTTAAACAATCTACTATTTTTACATGAAGGTGGTGTTGACCCCAGCAGAATGCTATGTTCTGTGCTAGGCGCACTGTACTGTGCACTTCACGCCCGTCATGGATGCAACGGACTTTCACGTTTGTCTAATAACCGCCCTGGTTTAAATGTCCTATCATTACATTTATAAAACTTATCTTCGAATGTATTGGTGATTTTGCTCAAGATTGATTATGTTCATACCTTAAATCACGATCCCAGAGTAGAAATACCGTACTGAAAGGATTATTTAATAATCTTCCTGATTTATTGCCAATTCCACATTGGGTCCCACAAGATTCGGATTTAGGCTCTAATTTCTTCCTACTAGGGTTGCCACCTCTCCGGTTTTAGACCGGAGACTCCGGTTTCTGAGCTTCATCTCCGGTCTCCGGTTTTTGAAAAATTATCTCCGTTTTTTTCTCAATTTCAATACATTTTCAAATTTTTTACAAAATAAATAGATTTTTCAACTTAAAATTTAAAGGTTTTTCTATTTCATCAGAAATCTGTCCTTTCCTTCTTCATTAGAAATATAAAGAGCAGAACATGAAATTTGGTCTTGCGATTCTCGAGTTATCGCCATCCGCTGTCTATTTCTTTCTACGCATATCAGACAGAGACAGCATCTAGCAATTATGCGAGAATCGCATCGCGCAACAGT